CTGCCCGCTGTTTAGCCCGAAGCCCACCATGGAGCCCATGGCTGGAACACCAATAGCCGCCGCACTATTTACCCCCGAGACCCCACCCACAGTATAACCACCCTGCTGCGGCAGGCTTGGCCCGAAACCATTGGATCCAAACGCGCAGTTCAAGTGGGCGTCAAATCCACACGGGCCACACCTGTAGAGCCAGTGGCCCGGCCCACCCTGGCCCTTGCATATATCGCAGCAGAAGCCGGAGAAGTCACCATAGGGCGACTTGAAAGCGAGCTTGAGCTCGTGCGGGTGGCACGCGTGCACGAGGGAAAGCGGCATGGAGGCGCAGGTCGCGTGCAGGTCGAGGCCGCACGTGTTGCAGTGGTAGCAGAAGCCCCGGCCCGGTCGGCCGCAGGCGTCGCAGTTGAAGAGGCCGTCCGGGTAGGCGGGCCTGGGTAGGAGGGTGAAGACGTGTTCCATGTGGAAAGGGTGAGTGATCTTGGCAGGAAAGTCGAGGCATTTCTCGTGGAGGAAAAAGTTGCATGCGGCGCATGAGTATACCGGGCCGCAGGGCCCGAGATCGCATGCCGGGCAGGAGGATGAAGGTATAGTTGGGGTTAGGTGGAGAGGGGTGAGTGTCAAGGGGTGGGGATGGCTGAAGTGGGTTTTTGCATTATGGGGTTCGGAGACTATTCTTACCATGTTGTCGTTCCTTCTTTCTTTTCGGTGGTCTCGATCGAGTATGATCGGCAGAGGGTTATTGAGTTGGAGAAATAAGAAGAGTCAACTTAAGCTGCAACTGGATCCAGAGGAAGGCCAAGAGTGGACTTTGAGTATTAATGACATTATAAGTCAATACAGAAAGACTTAAAAGGTACAATGTCATGAATTTCTGCTAAAATAAAAGTTAGTGGCCGAGTAAAGCTTTACAAGATAAGGAATATTGACTCTGTTTTATCAAAGGTTTGGAAGGATGGTAGGATTTCGAGGGATATACACGGCTTTGAGATCAGCCACCAGTTAATCCCTTCCCTACATAGGGTGGGCAAAAAAAATTTATTTTTCCGTAACAAACTGATTGAAGTGGTCTCCCTCCCAAAAATACATTTTCAAAAGATTTTATATATTTTGTATCGTTTTTGGTGCGGAACAATGAAAATATTATTAGTGGGAAATGCTAATTGCTATGGTCCCTTTACGGAACCAACAAGTGGTATCAGAGTCTCTTCATATTAAACTTTGGGGAATCAAAATTAATTTACTTTTCAATCCTGTATGGAAATTTAAAGTTTAATGTGCGGTTTGAGATTCGTATTTGCTGCTTCGATTTGATTCAGTTATATGTTCAGTTAAGAATTCAAATAGCATGTTTTGGGCTTAATTGGAAATAAATCCAATTATGCTTTATGGTTTATTAGTAAAATTAAACATGAAATTGTTTGTCTCATGTCGATTTCAGTATTGCTGATGATTAACGTGAATTTCATCAGAGCATTCAACCTATTTTAATTTGCCATCTGTTAATGTTGTTCGGCCTGTGGGTTGACATAAATAAATCAATTTTCTTTTGATTGTTTGGTGCCAAATAATTTGTGTTTTTGGCATCAGGATTATGTTAGTTGTATACTATGTACTCATCTGTTGTGAAGGATGCTCACTAGTATTCAGGAATAATGAACGTGTTGATTGTGATATGAATTAAATCATATCATTTGGATTGAACTGCCATTACGTGATTTTGATGATTGACATCTTATTTGAGATTTTGTGGTTTAACTATGCGCATGAATATTTTATGTGCATTCAGTTTTGGGTCTCTTTATTTTGGGACCCAATTTAAAGTTCAGATTGCTGATATTGAATTAAATATTCGACAGTTCATGTTTAATTTAAATGGATTGATTGAAACAAAATGTTGCCAAAGTGACCTCTTTTGTGTAGATTGATTCATTTAAATATTAAAGATTGTTGTATTTTTGTAAGTAATGCTTGTGTTGATTAACCTAATGGTGAACCGACACATGGTCGATTTACAAACATACATGTAATAATAAATCTGTGACAATTATAAGGTTTTCATGTGAACAATAATCCTATCCGAAGATACTTTTGTTGTTTGACAGAAATTACTGTCAAGATTTAATTATTACAACAAGTGTACTACTTAATTAATATTATTACCCAAAGATTTCATATTAGTGTTGTGTTTGGTATCTTGTTATGAATTTAAACCATATTTGGTTTAATTGATTGACAACCCTATAAAGTTATGTTTGTTTATGATGTTTTAAATTAACATAAGGAGCAAAGTTTTATGGTCTTTCACTAAAGAAGATGAAATAAAATAGTGGATCTTTATTTTGTCTTATTTTGTTATATTGGATTTGAGGCTAAATTGTGAGTGTATTTGAGCTTAGGTTGACATTTGGTTTTTGTCTAATTCGACTCAAATTAACAAAATTTGTTTTTAGTTTAAAATCTAAATATTTGAACTTGGTTCTATGTTTTGTGAACGTAATTTGCAGTGCGATAAAGCTAAGCCTAATTTGGACGTACTAGGCTTTGGCTATATAAAAGTGGATTTAAAGTCTAATTTGGTTTTATAGACTTTCAACTCAAATAAAGATAATGGACACAAATTCATATGAAGTTTCATATTTTGGCTCAAATTAAAGTTAGATTTTAAGATTATTTTTTTCTTGGTATCTCAAAATATTTATAAGGTAAGAGTTTGAGTTTGACTTTGTGATAAACTCATACAGTGTTTCCGGGATACGGGACTAAGTATCCCATAAGGATATGATTTATATTGAAAATCTTCACATATAATCCATGAGGATTATTTGAGTCAATTGTAAGAAACATATTAAGCATGTCCATGACTTATGTGTTTAATTTGGTTTAGGCTTATATTCCAAATTAATGTCATGTTGAGTTTATATATGCTTGAGCTCATTTTTGGATAGTGACTTTACGACTGTGGATTGAATTTTAACCCAATTTGGTAATAGTGGGCCAAAAATTCAAAATAAAGTTTATTTGGATTTAAGTTTATTGAAGTTAGATTTTAAGCCTAATTGTTATATAGGCTTTCAATCTAAATAAAGTTAGAACTAAATTTATTTTGGTTCATAAACTTTAAATTCGTAATTTTCTGGGGGCGACGTTTTAACGTTGTTCAATTGAGTAATAGAGAAATTCTTGGTCACTTTTCATATGATGATGTGATTTTCAATTTAGTCAATCAAAGTATCATGTTGTCATAGCAACATCTGTGCATAGAGAATGACTTTATTGAAATCACTTTAATGTTGTGTGAAGTTATTCATGTGATCTGTGCTGGGCCCATAGGTAGACGTAGGTTGACCGAATAATGACGCACATATGGTGATAAGAGACTATATGGCTTTTACTCAATTAGTCTAATAATTTTTAAATTAGTTAATCAAAACATCATCTTGCCATAGTTACCTCTGTGTGTGGAGAACGACTTTTTTGAAATTACATAGATGTTGTGTGGAATTATTTATGCGTTTTGTGTTCGGCCTCTAGGTAGAAAAAAATTGGCAAAATAATAATACACATGCGATGATAAGTATGAAATAATTATTTGGATTGTTCATGTGAACATTAGTAAGTCCAAAGATAGACTTTTGTTTGACAGAACTTATTATCAATGCTTGATCGTTACAACAACATTACCACTGCAGTTAATTTTCTGTTCATAGACGAGATTAATGTTGCACTATGGTGTCTTGCCACGTGTCCCTATTTGGTCTACTTACCCATATTTATGTAGGACATAAATTTCAGTGTGAGTACTTTGGTATTGTTCTCTAATTTTGACATCTGCTTACCTTAAGTCGTTTGTCATTATGTATTTTTTCTATAAGTTTTATATGTTTATAGAACAATATTTGGGTATTATCTGGGACATAAGGTTGATGGATAATGAAGGAGGTTCTACTAAGGACATTTAATGAAATAATATATCTTTTGATTATTGTTTGAATTAAGTTAAATGGAACATAAGGAAGTACATTGTGATATATCTAAATCTCGTCTTCAATCTAAGGCACTTTGATTGTACACAAAGTATTTATTTTGTTTTGTGATGAAATAAAGTTTGAACGAGAAAAGATTTAATGTACAATTTATCCTTCATTAACATACATTCTAAAGTTTGCTTCTCAATATGAGATAGCTAGTTTAGTTTGTACCATTAAGTATTTCGTGAGTAAGTTTTCTTGTTTTGTCACTCACATAAAGCAACCAAATTTTTAAGTGGTACAAGACATGTGAAACTAACTCAATTTTGTTAAGGTTATGGTAAAAGAAATATGATTGACCATTTCTCTTTGTCAATATTGTGAGAAGCAATGTGATTCATTATTAATAAGTTTGTGAATAGAGTAAAACCCACATCCCTTATGGATTTTCAACATACACTTTGGGGTTGTCCAACTAATGTAAGACTTTCATATCTATAAGTAAATTTGGACTAAAGATTGTGGGTCACTACTCGTTCAAAATTCTATAAGGTTTTTGTTAATAATGAATTTAAAGTTCATTTGAGGAAGTTGAGCTTGAATGGGAGATAAAGTTGCATTATTTAGAATGCATAAGGTTGCATTATTTAGAATGCAAATATGGTCCCAAAATGCAAACTCAACCACCTCAAATACATATACATGAAGCTTTAATGAAATTATGTATGAATTGATATTTTGAGGTCTTGTCAAATTGTCTATAAGTCCGAGTCTCATTGGTCATAAATGTGGCTCAATGGATTCAAAAGACAATAATGAGAGACATAAGGTATGTCTAGTCAACATAATTTTCATCTAAATAAGGACTTTGGTTACAAGAGGTTTTTATTTTGGTTTTGATGAGAAACTCTTTGCAATGTATGTCATTTTGAAGTATTTGATATTAAGTTAACTCCCTCTACGGTATTACAATTATATTAAGTCATTATCTCATTTTGAATTGAGATAAATAAAGTTTAATAATTGTATATACTATAGGTTGGGTGGTCGATACTCTTAAGAAAACTTATGTTATCTATCTCATTCATTGTCCCAAGAATGAGTTAAAGTTTAGAATGAACAAAAGATATACATATGGTTGGTAATCTTTTGTATTTTCAAGTTTGTATGTATTTGGATTTCACATACATGTAATTATTTGACAAATGATTGAATCTTGATTATTAACCTTTGGAATGCAGCCAAAGAGTTTTTTAAAGTTTTGTTTGAGAACAAAAGAGAGTTTACACTCACTTAAAAATTATTGGATCATTGAGAAATCATTTGGAACTCTAATTTTGAGTTTATTAGATGTCTGTAAAGTTGAACGGTCTAAATTTAAATCAAGCTACATTAACTGCTAGTTGGAAGAACTAATTTGGAAAGTGCCAAGCAGAAACTTATAGTTTATTCCTCTTTAGAAATTGAGATGTAGCTTATTTGAAGGCATCTTATAAGGTTATGGTTGCATAATATTATCACGAGGCTGCATGTTGCGGATAGTATTGAATACCACTATAGTTCTATTGTGATAATATTAATTTGCCATATTTCAACAACATAAATTGTTCATAAAGTTTCATGTTGTTGCTAAGGATAAAATTCATGTTGATGAATTTTTTATTGAACACATAAGGATGAATTTATGCTAGCAAATTCATAGCTCCATTATAA